AGCTCTGGCCCAGGGTAAAGCTCAGAAGGCAAAAAGGGATAGGAAAGAAAGATGAATGGAAACAGGAAACACAGGAAGGAAGTAGGAAGATTGGTATTACATTGTGGCTATTGTAAGCAATGTCAGGAAACAGAATGTGTTAGGACTTGTTGAATGGAAAATCAGTGTGCTCTGTAAACTTTCACCCAAATTACAATAAAAAGTTTAAAAAAAATAATGTCCTATATGACGAGTAAAAATAATTTATTTCGTAAATCTCAGTTCTTGAGCCATATTTTTTAATATTCTCTGTAATTAAATGGGAAGTACAAAAAAAGCACTTCTGCCCACCTAAAGTACAAAGTACAATAGTTATCCTGAGGAAAAGCACTTGTGTGATTTACTTGTAAGCTGCACAAGCTGCTTTCTTCACGGAACATTATTTTTACTTGAAAGAATGGCTGATATATAAACTATGATTATTCAGGCTTGGGTATTTGGCAGACATTTACATGAAAATGAACAAAGTAAGTCTTTCATTTCAAAGGAAACAACTGGCAGTATTTATTGGCAGTGATAAAATTTGAGCTTTCAAGTGAAAATTAGAAGTTTGGAAAATTTGTGTGTTTGAGCCTGATACCTTCCCTGTTCTTAAGACTTCTGATGAGATTGATGGTAATATTAATGAGTGTAATGTTTAGGTAGTGTATAATGAAATGTCAACATTTGGAAGCTGTGTATAACTCAGTAAACCAGCATTTTCCAAATGACCCAGCATGATGTTACAAAATCACAAATAGGTAAACGATCTATTCAAAATGTGAGATATGTCGATGAATTTTAATGGAATAGAATACAAAGAGTTCATTGATAAAAGCTTTCAAATTCCCCATTGCAACTAACCCTTAGGAAACTGCCACTTGTCATGTTTTGGTATCGTGTCAAAGACAAATATCCACAGTCTTCTGAAAAGGTTATTAAAATACTCATTCCTTTTCCATGTACATATCTGTGAGTCTGGGTTTTCTTTTTCTATTAAGCCAGAAATATTACAGAGATTTTTAGAAACATAAAACAATGCCACTCTTCTGTATTTTTTTTTTGTGTGTGCGAGGCAGTTAGGCAATAGAGTGATTTTTCTTAAAATATGTCATTATGTTAGCATGTGTAAATAGATTAAATTGTGTCCCCCTGCCAAGAAAGGTAAGTTTGAAGTCCTAACCTCTGGACCTGTGAATATGACCTTGTCTGGGAAATAGGGTCTTTCTTTGAAGATATTTTCAATATAAGTTAAGGACATGATAAGGAATGTTGTTGGTAGGTGCCATTGACTTGGCTTCAAATCACAATGACCCTGTGTACAACAGAACGAAATACTGACTGGTCCTGTGCCATCCTCACAATCCGTGCTGTGCTTTGAGCCCATCATTGTAGCCATTGGGTCAGTCCATCTCATTGAGGGTCTTCCCCTTTTTTGCTGACCCTCTACTTTATGAAGCATTATATCCTTCTCCAGGGGATGGTCCCTTCTGACAACATGGCCAAAGTATATGAGACCAACTCTGGCCATTCTCGCTTCTGAGGAGCATTCCCTCTGTACTTCTTCAAAGACAGATTTGTTTGTTCTTTTAGAAGTACATGATATTTTCAGTATTTTTCATCAACACCGTAATTCAAATGCATCAGTTCTTCTTAGGTCTTCCTTATTCATTGTCCAGCTTTCACATGCAAATGAGGCTATTAAAAATACCTTGGTTAAGTCAAGCACACGATAGTCTTCAAACTAACATCTTTGCTCTTTCACATCTTACAGAGATCTCTTGCAGCAGATTTGCCCTGTGCAACACAGTACAACGTCTGATTTCCTGGCTGCTGCTTTCATGGATGTTGACTGTGGATCCGAGTAAAATGAAATCCTTGACAACTTCAGTCTTTTCTCCACTTACTGTGAAGTTGCTTATTGGTCCAGTTGTGAGGATTTTTGTTTTCTTTATATTGAGGTATAATCTATACTGAAGGCTGTAGTTTTTGATACTCATTAGTTAGTACTTCGGGTCATCTTCACTTTTAGCAAGCAAGGTTGTGTCATCTGCTTGCTATGTCACAGGTTGTTAATCAGTCATAAAAACGTACTTCCGTTGAATTAGATCTGACTCATAGCGACCCCTCCTTGGGTTTCTGAGGCGGTATCACTATGGAAGTAGATTGCCCAACCTTCCTTCCAAGTTTGAACCACCAGCCTTCTGGTTATCAGTCAAATGCCTTAGGTCGTAGGGTGGGCATAATCGATTCTGAATGATGATTTGACCTTCTACCTTCTAGAACTAAGAAAATTATCTTCTTTAAAGTCAACTTTCCTTGTGTTTTGTCATGGCAGTCATAGGAGACTAAGGTAGCATCTTATGGGTTTACTATTTTTTAATGAATTAACAAGCATTTAAAATTCTCTGTTTTAATTTCCAATATAGTGAATATTGATAGGTACATTCCAGATGAGCAAAAGCTCTTTGATGTCCTCTAATTTTTAAGAGAGACTTAAGGCTAACAAGTTTGAGAATTGCTGTTCTATACTAAGGGTGTGGCAGTAGGAATGAATGTGAAAGGGCAGATTTCAGGGAAAATTGTAAGAGGCGAATTCATATGACCTGGTGTCTAAATTGAACTAGAGGAAAAGGCAAGAGGTGAAGGTTCCAGGTTTTAAGTTAGCATGACTCAGATGGTGGTACCTATCTTAGTTGTCTAGTGCTGCTATTACAAATACTACACATGGATGACTTTAATCAACAGAAATTTATATGCTCACAGTTTAGGAAGCTAGAAGTCCAAATTCAGAGCAACAGCTTCAGGGGAAGACTTTTCTTTCTGTGGGCTCTG